GTATTCTGTGCTTGTGTGCAGTGACAAAATAAGAAAGCCATTTCTTAAAAGCTTTTAATGTTGCTTCTTTTCCTTTAAAGCATATCTTGCTTTGTGCTACTTATGACTTTAAAAACTTGCTGTTTGTATTTAGTTCCAATAAAAATGAAAGTCTGGTGCAGAATATTCTCTGCAATAGATCAAGTGCAAGGATTTCAAAAGGAGGAACCACAGCTTGATTTCTTCAGTTTATTTGCATTTTTGCAACTGGTATATAGAAAACTGAAGCTAATCCTAATATTTTATACTTTGAACATCAAGACTGTGATGATCAGATTTAGCAGCCCAATGTAGGTGATGACATTTTGTGGTTATTCATGTATTCTCCTTCAGAAAGGCTCATTCCAACCAAGCAGAGTTGGATGATAGCCATTCATATTTCATATCAGACTGAAGATGAAAAAGTCTGGAGGTGACAATATTGCCGCATATACAATCTGGCCATTCATGTCTCATTTTCAGATTGCTCGGTGTGGTGTAAAAGGAGACCACCCTAGGCTCGGCTGCCTCATTTCTTCTGTGCCACTTCTATAAATCACATTCTTGGAGAAAAGATGGCTGCCAGGACTAGGGGAGGATGACTATGAATTTGCTTCTGAATTACAATTTGACAGGCAACCTGTGGTTGTTCATAACAAATAATTTATAGGGAAGCCTTCAGTTCTCATATTGATTGGCACACTAATTTATGTTGATCAGTGTGGCATCTGATTATTCAAATTTATGTGATTTTAAAAAGGTGAGCTAGAGAGGAATTGATGGGGAAACACCTCAATAGCATTGACTCATATCATTTCTAGATTATTTTTACCTGCCTGTGGCTGCATTTGGGGAGGAAGTTTCAATCTATTTATTGAAGGGGCTTTCATCTATATTCCACCTATCTCCTCATTAATCTGTGACAGATTTTTTTGAAAAAAGGATTTAATGTACCAGATAACAAAGTTGTCTTTTTTTCAAAAGCCAATTTAAACATTTCACTTTATGTACAATGTTCCGGAAAGAAACATCACATTACTCTTAAAGACATTTGAATCCACATTTTGAAAGGAGCCACTTCCTGCCTCCTAAAGTGACTGTGATTCTCATTCCCCTTACCCCCCCCCTCCACCCCAAAGAAGAAAAATACTTCTTAAAAGAATATATCACAAAATAGATATGTGTGCTCCGATCCATGTTTTAGCTGTAAGACCCCTGGAAGATTATATTGGGCTGTAGGCATTTTACCATCAGAGGCATTTGCAGGGAAATATTTCTGTCTCTTTCTCCCACCCCACCCATCCCTCTCTTCCCCCCCACCACATGGGGCCAGAAAAAACTGCTAACAAATACAATAGGAAAACTGCCAACACATATAGTATGCAATCATAAGAGAAGGGGGGCATGGAGGGGAGGAAAAGGAGGAGGTTGCCTGATTAAACCAGATTCTAAAAAGCTAAAAATCAGCAGTTGCTCACATTCTTCTGTTTTGCTCCACAAATACAGGTAACATGGACCCGGGTTTTTCATGTTTATTCTTATCCAAAGAGAAAGTTTGTCCTTTGATCATAGTTTTGGACTTTGCTATCAACTCTGATGCCAAGTCCCTTGTGAGCAGATTGGATTAGTAACCATAAGACTAGACACAGGTCTTTTAAAACATGGAGAGCAGGTATCAGGAAGTTTGAATCTGTAATTTCTAACACTTAAGGGAAACCTTCTGCCTAAAAGTGCCCTTAATTGAGCTGACTGCATCAAGGACAGTGATGTGTGAGGAGATTTGTGTCTTCAGCTTGGGTGGGGTGGGGGAGTAAAGAATGTGATTAAGACATTGTCTTGGGGATCTTTAGCAGCAATAATTGATGGCAAAGGCACCAGGAGGAACAACACAGATATGGACACTATATAGGATTTAAGAGATAATACTTTTACTTGAAAGAAATACAGAAAGTAATTCAATTTGGATCTTACATTCAGTACAGTAGCAAGGAAAATGCTCTTTTTCCGAAGAGACTGGAGCCCTAGGTAACAATAGATATTCCATGGTCTTTGAAATAGCGTAATCGGGCTAGGAACATTTGGTTTGATTTTTGTTGCCAGTTACACATACCTAAATCCTGCTGTTTCTGGGGGAATCTTCAAGCTCTACACATCTGTTTGGAATTAAGCACCTGGCTTATGTCTAATGAATGAATTTAGCGTAAAGTTGTGATGAGAAGGAAGGTTGTTAACACTTTCCTTTGAAAAAAATAGTGTTTGGATTATTTATCAGCTGTACAGAAAGGAATGAAAAAGATGATGCCATCACAAAATTCTTCCTGATCCTATTTCACCAGTGTAAATGAGAAAATGCAAGTTGCTAAAATGATTGGCATATGACACCACTTCAAATAAGAATAACCCCACTATAACTTTCACACTACAAAGGAGGCTTGAATCAAAATTAGTGTGAAAACTAAGGAAACAAGACAGAGAAAAGACAATTCACCATATGAAATAAGTCAGAAGAAAAGGTGACTAAAAGGTGAGGAATTAAATCCATTTCAGAGAAATGACTTTGTAGAAAGAAGGGGCTGAGGCCGAAGTTGCAAAATGTTGAAGAAGGATGAGAAGAGAACAAGGAATAAGGACAGGAATGAGGCTAATGGGTCTCCCTTGTCTTGGATTCTTAGATGACATGCTACATGTCATCTTATGTGGGTTGACTCAATGTGGAATGCTTCACAGCAAAATACATCTGCGTGCACATACATATGGATATTGGCAGAGGTGAAAGCCACTCACGGCAGACACCGATACTTCCAGATTTCCTGCGGAAAAGGATATCTGATGACTGCTGAGTAAGGGAAAGATAGGGGAAAAGGGTGGTCTGTTGGGATAAAATCACATATTAAAAACACATCAATCATGCTGCCAGTGTGATCCACAATATATCTTTTGGTTTAGCATTTCTGTTCTACTCTAAACCTCAGTTATCAGCACAGATTTACAAGCATATATTCTTTGCTACAGTGTCACTATTTTGCTACCCTGAGGGCAAGAAAGTACTAATTATGCTACTGTAATTACCTTGCCTGCTTGCTCTGACTTTAGCATGAAGCTAACAGGGAGTGTTCTCAGTAACACTGAGTGTCCCCCTCTCCAGCTGTCACAAGCTGCCTGACCTGATGGTTGGACAGAATGCCGCCATCATCACCTTTGCCACTCTTCTTTCTGCTGATGTGCTTGCCTGGACATGTGCTCTTGAGTGACAAAAGGAGGCCCTTGTATATGGTTAGAGGCATTAGTTCTACACTGGGTTAGCCTTTTGCACAAGGCTTTGCAACAATACTTTTCTTCTCACGCTCTGTGTAGAAGAAGAATGGCTCTCCCCTGCTTTCATGGAGAGCACAGGTTCATACAGCGGCCACAGCGCTCATGATACATTGGTTCTGGCAAACTATTTTGGCCCCAAGTTGACTAAATTGTTTCAAACAGAGGAAACATCTGCATTGTTTCTTTAATCCTAGTTCCCTGGAATCTGAGAGAAATGTCATAGGATCTCCAAACAATGCCTTGCCTGAAATCCCAGGATTCTTAATCTCTAAATTGTTTAACTTTTACTTTACAGTCAGTGCTCGTTAGATTGCAGTCTCCTTAAGTCACATCAAAGGGATATATTGGAAGGTACATACAAATTTAGTGATTTCTGTATCAAAAAAGAAAAGCATAAGAGAACATTATGTGAAAAGTTCATTGTTTGAAATGCAGAGATCGTAGTACAAACGCCACCAGCACCAGCAATAAAAGGTCTCTTATCTGGTGAGATCTATTAGAACTCACCTGTTTAGGGGTTCTACATGTAGGGCCCCATGCATCAGCCGCCTCAGTGACGTTCTCTCGCCTCACCTCTGGAACAGCCTGCCTCCAGAGATTTGAACTGGCCCTTCCTGAATATGGCTTGATAGACAGCTATTTAGGAATGTTGCTCTCCAAATGATGGCACATCAGGGCCTTCTTGCTCTTATGGTTATTCTATCAATTTTCTGTGTTTTAATGGTATGCTGTTAATTGTAAATTGCTGGACTCTTTGGAAATGAAGCAACATATAAATTGAAGTAATAAAAGAAAATATGGGGACAATTCCTTGTATAATTTTTTTTTTTTTTTGGTCTTTGTATTAAACAAAGGATAAAGCAAAAATTGCTGCTACTTTCCCGAGCTATTAAAAAATAGAAGAAAAAGGGAATAAATGGTTCATATGGTAATTAAGGATTATGACCATCTGGTAAGACATGAGCTTGTTCGAATAATTCTGCAACATACATTGCATCAAATCTTATTAAAAATGATTTTATTTGTCTGCACATGGACATAGAAGTGACTGGCATCTTTTCTTGGAGGGATTATAATTCCATGGGAGAAACCAAAGCATCATACACCCAACAACAGTCTTCAGTTATTAATTTGCTGATTTGAATCTGCATTGCCAAAATTTACTGGAGACAATAATCATTACTGCTTACACCCACTTTGTAAATATTGAAACACAAATATGAACGGGTAAAATCTGTAGTTCAATTATTTTTGTTTGCATGCTCTATTTTAGGCAAATGAGATCTAGATTTTAGGAGGGTTTTGAACATCTTGCACTTCTGGGAATTAAGCCAAGGTGCTTCAGATTTGTCTGTTCAAAACCAGAAGTAGTTCTTATTTAATTGATTTGTCTGGAATTGTATTTTTAAGTTGTTGTTGCGATACAGTAGGACTGAATGGAGTTTCATCCATCCAGTTTAGCACTGCCAATTGCACAGGAGGAAAAAAGCTTTTTCTAAAGATGGTGCAGAGCTAAAAACTATTCTTAGCCAAGGCAAAGAATTCAAATGGAGAAGTAATTATTCTACTATTTTGTATTATTACATAATCAATTGCTTATATTTCCTACCTTTTCCTTTCTATTTTGCTCAGCTTCACGTATAATGTTGAGAATGTTTCTTTTTCAGGTGTTTCAGGCAAACACCGATGCTTCTGAAGTGGTTCTGAACAAAATCCATGCTCCAGTGCTGACTCGGTTTGTGCGGATCCGTCCCCAGGTTTGGCATAGTGGAATTGCTCTTCGACTGGAGCTATATGGCTGCCGAATTACAGGTGTCTATTCTTTTCCGTCACTAAGAAAGATTCACCATTTTCTGCCTTTGCTCAACCCTACAAACTAAACTAGTTGCTGTTGGTGTCACAGCTTCCTGTGCAGAGAAATGGGGAATGTTCTGAGATGGGCATTTCAGATTATTTCATGATGCTGTAGAATTATAGTTTTGGGAAGGGGACAGGTATCACTTAGCCCCAAAACCCCACAAACCAAACCACCCTAGTCCACCAACTACATTTCTTTTACAGGTGGTCCTTTGACCATAATTGATGCCAGAATGACAGTTGTAAGTTATTCTGGTTGCTAAGAAGGTGACCATACCCAAATGTATGACCTTTTGATCTATTACTTGGAACCCTAATACATTAAGCAAACCTATTATCTGCAATGAGCATCTGTTGCCTGAAACCAGAAGTAAATATCAGTTTCTGGCAAAAAAAGTTGTAAATTTCAATCACATGACCAGGGGGGAGGGGGAAGCCATCAGAATGAATTTGGGTCATAAGTAGTACCTAGGGAAGTCCACCATAACTTTGAATGGTCACTGGTTGTAAGTCAAGGACTATTTGTACTGAGACCTTGCCTCTGTATGGAGGTTTTTCATGAAACTTGACTAGTATGGCATGAAAGACTTACCAAAAGGATCATAATGGGAGCCAATTTACAAATCTCTTTTTTCCTCAAAGATTTCCTGCATTTTTAGAGCTTCTAAAAGCTGTGCATGCTTTTAGAAACTCTAAAAATGCATTTGTCTCCTTAAATTATCCTGAAATGCATTCTTCTTCAATCTGCATACTTTAAAAAATGCAAATGCAGCTGCTGAGAAAGGAAATGATATTTCATATGGTAATCAGGATGAGAGTTATTAAAGCTTTCTTTATCTTCTGTGGTCCTAGTGCAAATTGCTACATCAAAGCTTTATATTCTATGGGAAAATCCTGATTCCAGTGGCTGCAACTTGTATTTTTTTTCTAATGTGAAGATTTATTAGGGTGGTACACAAGTTTGTGTCTGAATCAGCCCAGCAATACAGTTCAAGGATATGCATACTGGGTTTATGGTCTTCTTAAACAGCTCACGTTACAAAGGTTCTGTTTGAACAAAGATCTTAGCCCCATCAGGCACTAAGTTTTACCTCCTTACCAAGTAGCCCACAATCACCCTAATTCAGGGCTGTCAAACTCCTTGCCCTGTGGGCCGGATGTGTCATGTGCTGGCCATGCCCACACCTGGTTTAGCAAAGGGGGGGGGAGTCCTGATATGTCATGTGATGCCACCATGATGACATGAGTTTGACACCCCTAATTGGTTCAAAAGCTACTATTTGGGGGAACACAAAATTTGTGTTCACATTCTCTGATGCTGTTTTGTATCCCTTTGGTCTTTGTACCAGGAGAATAGTGTCAAGGCTTTACTGCATCACTGGGGCTTTCCAGGAAGACATGCAGTCATACAGTCTAACTAGGCAATGCTGCTAATTGATACTTGTGCTTTTTGCGGCCCAGTACTTAAAGATTTGCTTCATCAGTGGCTCTGCATTTCCTAATCTTTTTCTTGGAAGAATGACATTAAGTGAGGTTTGGAAAATGCCCAGAGTTGATATTGAGTTTTGCACAACATGATTGTCCAGTACAAATGTTGGAGGAGAAGGAGAAGTAATTGGCCTATGCAAATAATCACTTGAGGCTGCAACCATGAAATGATCAGGGATTTAATGACCCTTCACCCTATAATTTTTACCTGATTTGGGAATGTTGAACCACTTGTGATTCTTTTTGTACACAGCAAAGAGATTTCAAATGATGTCTTAGCTCAACTGACATTTTGAAATCTGGAAATTCTGGGACATAAGTAATGTTGCAGTCTCACTGGGATGCTTATATACAGTAGTAATTACTTTTGTTTCTGCCGTCTCTCCCTCCCCCCCCAATTAGTTGTGGCTTCACATGCCACAAGTAAATTTACATGTAAAAAAAGAACATTGAGCCTAGCCATCATATGAATTGTTTTTACATGAAGGCCTCCAGTTGTGGTTTATCTGTCAACTATAAAACATGTATACAAAATGTGTGTGTGCTTCAAATAAATCTTTTTTAGTTTTGGGAGTGTGGCTCAAGGCTCATGATTTAATCAGAGTAACTGCTGGAATCCTGACATTATCTCTCATTTGATTGGATTTAATTGATACTTTTTTAAAAAAAAGATCTGGAACAGCAACCAGAATGCTATTACTGGATGGAAGTTTAGCTGGAAGCAGAGACCAGTTTGGATTAAGAATTTTGGGGTAGGGTGTATTTTAAGCCACCATGGAGGGTCATCTGTAACCGATGAAAGCTGGAGTCCTTATTACTCTCTGAGCTTGTTTGTTTCATTACAGACGTTTCATTAGGTAATATCATTATTGGTACCTATGAAAGCCATTATAAAGCAAAGCAAAGCTGGCTTAAATATTTTGCAATCAACTTCAGTTGATTGCAGTGAGACATTATTCTTCCTATATCATTGCAGAATTTTTATCCCCCACCTGATTTTGCTTAATACCCATTTCTATGCTCACTGCTGCTCCTTTTCATACAGATTCACCCTGTTCCAGTATGTTGGGGATGCTTTCAGGACTTATCCCAGACTCTCAGATCTCAGCTTCTTCTACCAGAGAATATCACTGGGTTCCTAGTGTGGCACGCCTAGTCAGCAGCCGCTCAGGATGGTTCCCACGCATCCCTCAAGCCCAGCCTAGTGAGGAGTGGCTGCAGGTAGACCTGGGCCTCCCAAAGAATGTGAAAGGAGTGATTATCCAAGGGGCCCGAGGTGGGGACAGCATTAATGTGGCGGAGGCCCGAGCCTTTGTGAAGAAGTTTAAAGTGGCCTACAGCATGGATGGGAAAGACTGGCATTCAATACAAGATCCCCGGACCATGCAGCCAAAGGTAAGACCTCTTTGTTGGAGTGTAATAGGGCACTGCTGATGGGCACTGGTACTTTTTTCCTTTTATTTCTTCTTCCTTTCTGGTGAAATTTATTATAGCAATAGCACTTAGACTTATATACCACTTCACAGTGCTTTATAGTCTTCTCTAAGCAGTTTACAGAATCAGCCTATTGCCCCCAACAATCTGACTCCTCAGTTTACCAATCTCAGAAGGATGAAAGGCTGAGTCAACCTTGAGCCAGTGAGAATTGAACTGCCAAACTGGTTATTATGGCTGTGGGAGCCTTTGCTTCAGGAGACGTGAAGGGGTCTATCCACTTTGAAGGGTCCTTGTCAGTGGTGGGATTCAAATTTTTTTACTACCTGTTCTGTGGGTGTGGCTTGGTGGGTGTGGCAAGGGAAGGCTATTGTAAAATCGCCAGTCAGAGTTGATGTTTGCCGGTTCTCTGAACTACTCAAAATTTCTGCTATCGGTTCTCCAGAACTGGTCAGAACGTGCTGAATACCACCTCTGGTCCTTGTCCAAACCACAATCCTACCTGCAAAGTCATATGTTTCACACTTATCTCAGTATAAAAACATTCTTAGTGGTTATGCAATAGTTCTCAATGAGCTGCTTAAAGTTGAAATGATTGAAGTAGCATAAAACCATTTAACATGAATGTATGTTTCAAAAGGATGTGGGAAAGAGGAGGGGTCTTATCTATGAATGTATTTCCTCCTCCCTCTTTCCTCCCTTTCTTTCTTCCTATTTAGCAATAGGATCATCTTCTTGTAGTGGAAAAGCTGGACCACTTAGAAGCTGGAAAGCGTCATCTATTTTTCACTTCTTTCTCTTTTCCATCATATAGCAAATTTACACATGGGCCTTTTCATTTCAGATTGCATGTGCTGCTGAATATGTCTTTAAACGCTCAACAGCAACTATTGACCACTTACTGTACATAGAAAAACAGATGTTAGAAATAAGTACCAGTGAGCAGAGCAGCAGATGTTGGGGAATGCTCTGTTGAGAGATTAGAAATCACAATGTCTGTACAAGACAGTCTCCTCTGCTTCCCTGGGCTCTTCTTCATGCACTTTCCAAAAAGTGCATGAAGCTGCGTAATCACCAGTCTTGAAATAGGGTTTTACTGCTGCTCCAGGGTTTGTTTTTTGGGCAGATCTGTGCAACAAAGGTGCTGGGTAAAACAAACAAACAAACTTGTCTTTCAACCCAGTATCTCAGGGGGTGCGGGAGGTGCCTTCCCCCCCCCTTTTTTTTCCTGGCCCACAAGTCTTTTTCTGCTTGACTGGGAAAATGGAAAATGTAGGGTTGAGATTACATCCATATCAGCATTCCCTACACCTTACCAATAATTTTATCGTGCTATTGTAGGAAGTGAAATCATGGTGTCTTAGTGGCTTGGATAGACAAAACAAGACAAACAGCCAAGTAGTATCCAGTTAGAAATGATGGCAGTTGTGCATGCTTTTTAAAAAATGAATCAATACAGGGAAGAAACTGAGATGAGCATCGCCCCCTAGAGTCGGACACGACTGGACAGGGAAACCTTTGCTTTTTGCTTTACAGTTTTAGCGAGAGGATGGCCTAGTCTTGATTACTTCTCCCCCACCAATGTCACCATTTCTGCAAAGAATGTTGGTACAGCCCTGGTTCACTGTGTCCTGCTTTGTCTCTGTTTTATCTCCTCAGTGAAAAGTAGGCTATTGTTCTTCATATGATTCAGAGGAAGGTGAGGGTATAGCGTATAGGCAATTTGTGATAAAAATAGTTTTAGAGCCCATATTTGGGTTGTTATTATTGAAGCTTCTGCTTAATTTTTCCAGTGACATTCTTACTTGCTAAGGATTTAAGAGATCCTTAAACTTTTGCACCACTGTTAAAACCTTAGTTCAGGAGGCCCAAAGCACTAAATCATAGACAAACACAGTCTAAGTTTCTGTTAGCTAATTCCTTGAATTAGTACAAATGGTATCATAGGTGTCTTGATGGAAAAATGTGTGAGGTGGATAAGGAAAAGAAGACCATTAACAGCCAAGTCAGAAGTCAGTAGTGTTTACACAAGAAGTTAGTAGAGTTGTACCAGATTTGAGTCAGTATATCTGGTATCAACATCTAGCTAAGAGGAGGCATGTCCTGTGCCAAAGCACGCTGTGTGGTTTGTCAGATGGACTGCATCCCACTTGGCAGCAGCATCCTGCTCTCAGGCATGGAACTTTTCAGTTGGCCACAGACTCTGGCTAGCAGAAGAAGGAGTTAGATGGAGACAGAGGGAAGGGAGAGTAATTTTGAAACTGAAGCACCATATCCTGTCTCTCAGTTACTTTACAGATCAAATGTATTTGAAAACAACTGCCTTAGCTTGTACCAAAGGTGAAAAAGCCTGATTATCTTTCTCCCTTGCTGTAGAATTTCCTTAGATAATTCAACCATAGGTACATTTAAGATAGAAAATGTTTTCTGATAATCTTGGCCAACTTTGGTATAAGATGTATTTCTTGGTTGGGTATTTTTCCTTTTACCTTCTCAAATAGAGGTAACATTCAATGAATGTATTGTCATTTATTCTTGAAAAAGCAGCTTCAGTATTGCTCCTCCTCAATAAAAAGCAATCTGCTGACAAGATGATACTGACAGCTTGCATTCTTAAATATTACAAGTTTCTGTGGTTTGGTCTAATATGTCACAATTGATGAAAAGCTATTAATAATACAAAAATAGAAATGTGCTACACATTGAATTCAAACTGAAAGGTGCCCTGAAGTGGTATATACTTATGTTGGTGCTTTCTGAGCTCAGACAGTAGCCAGAAAAATCTGCTTGTGGTATAAGGAGATGCTAATAGCCATGCACAATCCGAAGCACCTTGTGGTACTTTCTTAATTCAAACACATATTTTCCATAGATTGCACAGGTGGCTTGTGAGCTCAGAGGAAGATGGAACTTCTTTCAGGAGGTTACTAAACCATACGTCCTTTGAAATATCTCTTTGAATTTGGATGCAGAGAACAGTACATCCTTATCTGAAAGCTAACAAAAAGGTCCTTTTTCAAGTAGATTGAGTATAAGCCATTATTTTTCCCCCCAGCATTTCTCTATTTTGTCTTTTCATGATCATTGTGTAACCAGTTACATTCTTCAGGTTGTCCCAATTCATTACAATGGGCCTGATTGTTGATTAGTACACAGGTGTCAAACTCACTGTGTCACATTGCCATCATGTGACATTTTGCAACATTTTTCCCATTCACAGAGCTGGGGTGGGTATGGATGTGACGCATCTGACCTGTGGGCCACCAGTTTGAGAGCCCTGGCTTAGTAGAATAAAAAGTTCAAGTAAATTTGAAGGAATAACCAGTCTTCCAAAGAGTTCTTGTACTATTTGTTTGTTATTTATTTATTTATTTATTTGGCTCTAAACCTAGGAGAGTCCTATTTAAACTCTGTTTCTCTAAGATATTTGAAGGGAATATGCACTACGACACCCCTGAAGTTAGAAGATTTGATCCTGTTCCTGGACAATTCATCAGAATTTACCCAGAAAGATGGTCTCCAGCAGGGATTGGGATGCGATTAGAAGTCCTTGGGTGTGACTGGACTGGTAAGAGTTGTATGAATCTATTTCATGCCATGAATCCTTCAGCCATTTTGGTCCTGAGAATGTTTGCATAAAAGTTTCTACATAAGAATCCAAACTGATGACATTGCACCACAAATATTTTCCTTTCCCCACTCTTCCTGGTGAATAATTCTTGCTCTGCTTAGAATGAGTAGAAATGTATGTATTCCTGTGATGATTATGGACTCTCTTTCAGCTTTATGATTTCAGGATGAAAATCCTTAATAGAAAATGTCTTTGATAGCATTTATTCTTTTCATTGCTTATTCTCTGCCTATTAGGTTAACAAGTTGTTGTATCCTGCCCTTTCTGAACAATCTTCAAGTTTTGTATATCACTGGCTATGAATGTTCAGATCCGTTTTCCTTATAAACTTATGCCTAACCTCACAGCTTATTAGGCTGGGGATCACAAATTCAATGTTAATAGCCCTGTAGCACCTTTCTCAAGCAAAAAATAATAATTCTTTCCAAATGGCATTCAGAGTGCAGATTAAAAGAAGATAAGTTTTCTTAGTTTTTCCTTCTCAATTATATCTTTCTTCCAACTGCTTGGTGCCAGGACATTCTTATTTGTAATCTTCTGAGTGGTGGAGAGCAGGCATTCTGAATCTCAACATACACACAACAATTTAAGCTTCCCCATCTCTACCAATAAAATAAGAGGAGCAAGAGGGTGCATGTGTGGAATAATCTATATGTGTGAGCATATATATTATTAGGACTTAAGATGGGGAGGGGAATGGGAAGGAATGTATATGAGAAGAGGAATGGTATGTAATGGTGACAGTGATGATAATATTCTAATGCCTGCACCCGTCGTGAGCCATTGAGTTGCACTTTTGTACTGATCAAAACTGATGATTCTGTATGTCTGTTTTAATTATTGCCTTGCTCTGATTTGATGCTATGTTTTGTGATATCTTTTTATGTTAGTCCATATGCCCAGCAGCATATATTAAGAAGAAGTTCAGTATAATTAACAGGAACACCTCAAAAACTAGAGAGACTCAGCTTGAGATATCTGTATCACAAGGTTACATATATTTCTTATATTTCAGGATTCTTGAGAGAGAGTCCAATTATCTGTCAATCTAAGGAATCAAAATGTTACACATACGATTTTATAAAGAAACTTATTCTTCCTTTTGATTTGTAATCATAAAGTATGAAAACTGTCAGCTGGATTTAGCCCTCTAGCTTCCAAGCGTAGCTGAAATGACAAAAAGTGGAGCACAAGCTACCACTACCAACTAAAACTAAATCCTTTTACTGCTGACTGTTAGAGGTGGGAAATTATACTTTCTCTTTTATTTTGTTAAGATGCATCTAGCGTTCAGTCTGCTTTCCAGATGTCACTAGTAAAAAAGGTTTGATTTCTATTTGGAAACTTTATCTGTTAAAAAAAAACTTGTTTATATAGATTGGCTTGGGCTGTACAAACTTCCAAAGAAGCAGTTCCCTTACTAGTTTCAATACTACCTTTTAATAAATGATACTTTGGCATGCTTCATCAGATATATATGAAAATAATAACACATCTACAATTCTAAGTTAAAATTGGTAAACTGGCCCTTTTTGCTATTGTCAGGTGTCACAGTACAGTTAAATGTTTTTATTTATTTGACAGGGAATATTTGAACCACAAATCTAAAAATTATAGCCTCAACGTGGAAGATCTTGTGGGTCCTTCCATACTGTTCTGTCAGAGGCATGATACTACTTGAGTACCCATATATGAGTATAAATTGTTCAGGCAAGGTGATGCTACTCTTGGAGAAAGATTTTTTTGAAAGTTTGCATTAAATATTGATATATAACTTGGACATCTTGCCTGCCATTATTATTATTTGTCTTTGTCCAAGAATCAGAACATCTCAGCCCATCTTACATGGTTGTCATTGGGGAGAAAATGGGAGCAGGCAGCATTAAATATCTATGCTACCTCAAGAAAGCCAATGAATAAATAAATAATTAAATAAAATTTAAAAAATAAATAAATACACACATACATTTTTGGAATGGAAGAAGTCTGCTGATACAATAAACTTACATCTTCTGTCCATACTTACCAAGATGGCCAATGTATGGCTTGCATAACATAATTTCAGACTGCACATTGGAGGTTCATATGATTAAATGGTCTTTCATCTAAATGTTAGGTATCTAGAAGAAAGACTATAGCCTAATTATATGCCCATTAATGCTATTTATGCTTTTGCTGGGAAGCACTCAGTTGAATGCCTTTCAATCTACTGTCAGAACCAATATATAAAGCCTTAGGTTGATCATCAGTTTGCAATAGTGGAGAATATCATGGGCTGTTCCCTGATACCACTAGATGACATCGCTAGGGCTCGCTGCCTTAGAAGAGTGAGGGAAATTCTCAGGGACGACTCACATCCCGGTCAGCACTTCTTCACTCTTCTACCATCGGGTAGGATATAGAAGCATAGCCAGCCGCACCAATAGGCTGAAGAACAGTTTTTACCTGTGGGCTGTCAGACTTCTGAATGGAAAATAACTTCATGTCAACATAGTATGATAGACTGGCGGGACTTCTATCCTCACTGTGAGTTGTGTTGGGGGGGGGGTGCACGAAGAGAGGCTCAGCCAATCTCATTGTACAAATGTTGTACTCTGACAATAAAGGTAATAAATAAATATCTGTAGCTTGGGCTACACCTAGCCTGGTTACCTAACCTGGTAATAAATCATTCAGAAACCAACCCACAAGCTTGGAGAACGAAACTTAACCTTTGATCATCAGTTTCAGACTAGGATTTTTACTTGAAAGAAAGACAAACCAAAGCTAGATCAAGGGTGGATTAGATGAGGCTAGACTAGACAGCACCAGTCTAGGACTTCACATTTATCTTGCCAGTTGCCCATACTACACCTCACTTCATAAAACCAATAATTGAATGCTTTTATTAAACCAATTTTGGATACCTCTTTGAAGAACATGCTTATTTGCAACTTGGTGGTAGATTTTTTTTTAACCCTCAAGGACTGTGAATTATGGTGGTACTTGTTTATCTTTGTTGCCTTAGTAACGTCTTGTTAAATTTTTTAAATATGCAGTAAATGACCACTTATGGTATGACTTGCATGTTTGACCTTTAAGCGATCTGTTTCTGGAGCCCTTCAGTAATAAGACCTGAAGTACCTCTTATAGAAACTTGTGCCAAGAGCATTTGGCATTCTAGCTGCTTGGTAGGAAGAAAAATTGAAACATTAGGTCAACAGCTGGCTTGTTTCAAGGGCCTGCCAACATTTTTTCCCTTCTGAAGATTGACAAATATTAGCTCGTGACTAGTCCTCTCTCCTTTGAACTTGCAAACATCTGGTTTCCATTGCTTGACAGCTTTGTAACAGGATCCACGACTGCCTCTTGCAGTACATATACTGCCCAGCAGGAGGGAGACTATCTTTTGCATACATTTCAGTCTTAACACATGTTGTCTCTCCTACTGTTGTAGTAAGTTTGCTTTATTCTGCTATGAAATCTGTACAACTCTGTTGACCATATATGACACTGCAGAGCTTCTAAATTACTCCATCAGAGGATGCAGACACACTATGGGGTTTTCATATTCAAAGATCACTCTCAAAGTTATGTTCCTGTTGTAAATCTTTGACTACAAAAGAAAAGGGTTTAATGCATCTGTTATTTAGCTTTGGATTTCTTGGTTCCCCAGATATTTTTAATAACCAATTTGTTCAATTCCTTTTCATGTAAGTTACTGTTAATACCATTGAAGATATATGGCTGTATAACAGATCTGAATTTATAAACCATACAGCTCTGCAGTTGTGTAGTATTTTGTTGAAAGCCTGAGAATTATTTTGTACTGAGTCACATGCTGAACAGCTACTTAGACATGGCATGAAGTAATCAGATGAGGTTTGCCAAGTAGCAAATTCCTGAACTCTCAGTTTGACCAAGCTGTCAGAATCTATCTGTATTATCAGTCTAAATAAATCCACTGCATGATGAAGACCTCTTCATTAAAGGTTATGAACTGTAATCTATCATGCTGGTCCAATTGGTAGATAGATTCTGTTGTGGAGCGGCGGTAAAGATAGAGACGGACGCAGGCTCGAAAGTTAACAGGCTTTATTCTAGAGAATAAAGGGTTGCCGCGGCTGCCGAGGCTAACTAGCAGTCAGCTGGCGGCGACAGCTGATGCCGTTTGACAGCTCCTTTTATAGCTGGCTGTCAAACGGCATCAGCCAATGGGAGCGGTCGGCGCTCCCGCGCAGGCGGCGGACCAGAGAGAGAACCTGTCAGTCTGTGAACACAGCACTCCTTTCCCCTGGCCAGGCGCATGCGTAGTCCTGCAGCCTGGTAGGCCGTCTTCGCTCGCGGCCAGATTGTCGTAGACCAAGGGGCTTGCCGGCAGGCAAAAGGTCCCTTGCTCCCAGGGAGTCGCCCGGAGATCCTCGCTGGCCTCCAGGAGCCCTCATCCGAGTGTCCGGCTGCTGACCAGGTAGGTCCTTCCGACTGGCTCGCTGCGGGGACGGCTCGGGATTCGGCCGGTAGACCGGGTCGTCAGGCGGGGAACCGTTCGCGGCTGCTGGGTAGACTGGTTCCCTCGGCTGGTCGGCTTCAGCAGGCGGTTGGTAGACTGGGGTGTCCGGCAAGTAGGCTTCAGGCGGCTGGTAGACCGGCGCGTCTAGCGGCTGGTAGACCGGGGCGTCTGGCGGTCCCTGGGAGTCGACAGCAGTTCTTTCCCAACGCCTCCTTAGCTGGTCTATGTGCCGACGCCACACTCGGCCATCCTCCAACAGGATCCTGTAGGACTTGGGTCCTGTAATAGAAACTATTTGCCCTGGCATCCATAGAGGGTGCCCTGCATAGTTCCTGGCATAAACCAGGTCTTGCAGGGTAAATTCCCTGGCATGGCTGTCAGAGCCTAAAGGGGTGCCAGGGGCATAGTGGGGGTGCAACCTGTCCAGGGTGGTCCTGATGCGTCTGCC